GTTATTATGGCTGAGAGAGGGCTCCCGGAACAGTGAACATATCTGACAAAGTAGATGTCATAACCCATTTTGTACAAAATGGATATGCTGGGAAGGGATTCTAGTAGTCTTGAAGGTTGATGTTTGTTTACTCCAGTTGGTGTCACTTTAACATCTATGTCCATCACTTTGTAAAATTAAACTGAAAGGTCTTGTAAACATTATTGCATAATGGCTACATCCTGTATGCAGCTGTGCAATAGATGGCTACTCAGTCAAAGTCTCAGAAAACAGCCCTTGCATTGTGTAGGCTGCTGAACAATGATAATTTAGTAATGAGCATATTGTGAATGTATTTTGTTGGAAATGTTTCCAGATGAGGATGATGATAAGAAGACTAGAAAAGAGAGAGATGAAGAAAGAGCCAGGAAAAGAGTACTGACAAGCTCACTTTTACATGATTTAAGAGGTGACATGATAACTATTTCTTAATTTGTTATAATTCTCATCTTGTTTAGAGAATTGCTCCTTGACTATACAAGCCTCTAACTACCACATTCTGTAATTAAAGAACTACTTTATTGGCAATGAATGCAAAATTTGCATTCTTAATTTTACTGTGTACTCCTTGGGTATCATCTGAATGGGCTTATATTCGTAATTGTGTAATGCAATATTCTGGTTTGCCACACAGATATTTTTCGTGGCGGGGCATCCCATATATTAATTACAGGGTGCTCATCGCATCTTTTAGGGGATAAAAAAACGCAGTTTTGGTACTTCTTGGGGTGTTCAGCCTCAAAAGCTNATCTAGGTAATTTGTTTCTTTTTTTGTATTATCAGTGCCCAGTTCTCTCTTTGTAGTATGAGTAACGCAGGCGTACCTTTAATTAAATGAAAACCGGCAATCCATGTAATTGAAACGGTCTGTTGAAGTCTCGCAGTCAACTTTATCGTTTCTAATGTTAACCATTTGATTGTGTCTTGCAGTTCAAGCAGTAAGAAATCAAAATCGAAGGTATGGTACATGTCTCTGTCTTTATCTGCAGTAACTCTCTTAAAAGTATTCATCCAAACCAGGCGCGGAGGCAAAAAAATCACGGGGGGGAAAGAAAGTGTTTAATCGTGCCTTAACCTCAATGCGATTTACTTTGTTTTTGTCCTAGAGGCCTCGGAGCCATGGAAATTTTAATAGAATTATCGAAATTGGCTTACTGTTAAGTGTACTGTTCGTTTAATTAAATGCAGTCTGTAAAGAAAAACGGCTATTAATTTAAATACTTAACAGCGTTATTTTGATCCCTGTGTAAACCTTTCAGTAAATGAAAAGAAATACGAGGATTTCTAGGGCTGTTTTAAAGTGCCAAAAAATGTTTTTCGCTCGATGAAATCTTTATATGAAACTAACAAAAAAAGCTGCAAAAATTTTTGCATTCGGTTGAAACCCGAATTACAATATGACAATCGCCAGCAATAAATAAATTATATAAACAATATTTCACATTACTTATTTGATAGCCACAAGACATTTTCATTATTTATTACCATCCTCTATGTGGTAATCTGCCAAAAGTCTTTTCTGGGCGTGTTTGTACTTCAGGTTTTTTTAAAATGTTTTTATCTTTTGCTCGAAGGGGACTGTTGTTTTTCAAAAGGGTGATTGGGCCTGTTCGTTAACCATGTTTTCATGCTGGAATTGTGTTTGCTATTTCGTTATGTTTCTTGCAGTGGAAGAAGAAGTTTGGAAGCGCGAAAAAGAAGAAAGGTAAATAATCATGAAATATACATTTAATTCTTGGCCGGACTTTTCCTTTGGCAAGACAAACAATTGAAGGTTTCCACGTGCCAAAGGCATGTTTGCTGTTTGTACTCGTTAGTTTTTTTTTTTTCATTTTCATAATCAGTCAGGGCAGCCAATGCTGTTTTTCGTGAATGTTTTAGCTCTAAAAGAGTTTCCGACCCATCGAAGAATACCTCGCGACCACTCAAAATATTGTGACTCGACTATCGCGCTACGAGAATTCATCGCCTCACTTGGCAACGTTGAGGCCAAAATGGCGGCCTCGGTCAATCGTAGGATGACATGCATCAACTGTTAATTCTGCCCTCCTTCCCCCCGCCTCCCGACACACATACACACCAGACTGTAATTTGTTTTGTGCTGCTTCAGTTGCGAAACACTATGCCTTGGCGTGTGTGTTCATCAGCATTGAAATGCAGGACCTGCCCGTTATCTCTACAATAGTTTCTTTCTTCACCTTGAGATATCATAAAAGTCGTTACTGCCGAGAGAGGACGACGCGAGAGACTATGAACGCGTGGTAATTATTAGACCAAGTTGCGTAACCTCATACATCGTTGCAACTTCCAAATTTTTTGGCGAGCTGTCGTTCGGCGACTTCGCGGTAAAACAGCATGGATCTAACCAGATGCTGTCACGAACCGTATAGTAACGCGCGAAAACATTTAACCTATTATGTAATAGGCGTTATCTACAAACGGCTTAAAACAGCTTAAAAAAATTATTAGAGAGGGCAACCGTCTTTACAGGGGAATCCACCTCGAAGATCTTCCTCTCTTGCTGGCGACAAACTGCAGAGGTACTGCAAATAGACCATGTCACTTCACGCTGCATTTAAGCCCCGGTGCAGACCAGCCATCGGACTTGCCTAATCTCCTATGGATTGAATGATAAGTTCGGTTTTTCGGTAACCTTTTTTTGTTTTCTTCACAGGATTTAGCAAACGACGCCGAAGATAAAACAGCAACGGGGAGGCAAACAACGCTTTCAAATCAATAAATATTTTGCCGCCAGTAAAATCAGATTTAGTTTGTTGATTGTTTGTGTTACTGAATTTTGTAGTTTGTCCAATAGTGATCTAATTCGTTTGCAAACAGTCCAGCTGCATTTCGTCTTTGTTGTGCGTTTCATAATAAATAATTGGTGACGCTATTTTGGTATTCTTGCCCCTGGACCTTGCTCGAATTACGCTCAGAGAACCCGGCATTAAATTCTTCAATATTGGCAGTTTCTATATACAGTGCGAGCTTAGCGCAGTGAAATTATACCATCTTTCGCACAATTACATCCGGGGTTCCAATCTTTGGCTCTGAGCTGTGAGTTGACCACACGTAGGCCGCAGTCTGGGGAATCGCTTCAGCGCTGGACGAGTAAATACGATCTCCAACCTTAAAAACAAGGTAACAGCTGATTACAGTGTTTTTGTTTTCGTTTTTTTGGAACTTAAAAATGGCCTAAGGCGATATTTTGATAACCGATTTTTACCGTGAACAATTACGGTAGTGAAAAACTGAGGGAAAATTGAGATTTGCATTTGTAGGTGTTAACTTGGGTGTTATCGAAAAATGGCTCTGTTTGATCCGTTGTTTTATCGTCATTGGACAATTTGTTACTTCAAGTGAGCATAAAAAGTTCCAAGTAGATTTATTGGGTTTGGCCTTTTAACCCACATTTCAAGTAAAGAAATTGCAACCCGCATTACCCTAATTACCTGTAGCTGACGTAATTTTTAAACGATAAAATGTTTCCTTCTCGGACAATTAGTTACAAGTATTTGCTGAATTTGGTATCTATGTCTGAGAACAAACCTGTGAGACCAGTTAAATGAAGTAGGGAACTGGTTAAATGTCACATAATTCCAAAGAGAAATTTTCACGCATTTTGCTTCCAATATATTTGGGTCTGATACATGAGAAATTCGACTCTGACACCGGTCTTATTGACTGATTCTGAGGTCATATTTTACTTGGGAGGCAATGAACTTAAGGACACTTTGAAGGTGCCGTTATTTCCAGTGAACGCGTCTGAATCTCAGCTATAAACACAATTTACCTTCCATTCGTCGAAATATTTTAACAGAAACATCTGCTTGCCCCACGTTTTCTATAAAACACTGTCAAAGAAACGTCATTAAACAGATCTACCGCTTTTGATTGAAAAGGTTACTGTTTCAACTACCATAAAGCTTGGCAGGTATTGCTGAAAAAAACAAAAGGAATAACAAGCAGGGTTTTCTTTATACGAAGGCATAGCAGGGATGTTCGCAGCTAAACATATATACGTTGGAAACAAGGTGCATATGCAATGTTGAGCCACGTAGAACTGATAAAAGAGAAGCTGAAAACCCGAATATTGTATCTACGCTTTGCGTACCTCTAATTGTCACGCACATGAGCACAAAGAGCACGTCCGGGCTTGTGTTGTTCAAAACACATTATTTTTATTTGCCAAGAATACAATACCGAGGGTTAACTCTAACTCTTTTTTAGAAGCTAAAAAATGACCAGGGAATTTCCCCCAGAGCGTTAGCCTCTCAGAACGGAAATTGGGTCACACGATGCAAAGAAATATTCTTTTGAGTCGAACACAAGACCACACGAGAACTCGTCTCACTCTCTCTCTCCCTGTGGTGCGCGAGGGAACACTTTTTTTACAGGTGCAACCATGTAAGTTTATGGATCCATTTTAAATTTTTATCAGAAATAAAGGTTACTTATCGATTTCGAATGGTCAGTTGCTTGTTAAAGCATCTAACATTATCAAGAATAGCAATCGTTACATACATCGAAACGTCGAATTACGTTACTCCTTATATTACTTATTGATTTCTAGTCTAAAATCAATGTTCTCGGAATAGAGCTAAATTAATGCTCAACTGAGTTATAGGGATGTTCCGCAGTCTTACTTGTAAACTTTATTAATGCCTTACCGTTACACAATGTAAACTTAAGTGCATAACTTTCAAATCTCCGGGCATTTACATGTAAAACCTCGGACAGATTTATTTTTGGACAAATTTTTGTCCGAAATTCAGGAAACGCTTCTGACATCGTGGACCAACAACATGTTTGGAATCATAACCCTTACGTCGAATGTCACGGAAGTTCACCAAATATGGTCATACCCGGGCAAACGGGTGGTTCAAAGTCACGTCATACCGTCGCTAGTTGAATAAAGTGTATCAACGACGGACAGACAAGGCGGAATTCGCAAATTTCGTCCCTGTAGAACGTGGAACGTAAGTTAAAATTGTGAAGTTATTTCCACGAATAGCCTGTATTTTGTTTTTCTTTCGTCTGCTTTCTGCCGATCTTGTCGATCAGCATGGTAGGCAACTTCTTGATGTTTACCTTGCAGAACCGCTATCGGTACGGCTGATAATGGATATGTACAGGAAGTCTAACTGTACTTCATATAGAGACCACGATTAGTTGGCATTCATCGTGTCAGGTACATGGGAGCATGTATTAATCTTGCTATCCTCACAACACCAAGTATAATCTATGGGGATATATTTTGAAACTTCCTTGAGATATTATTTGGCCCGCCAACCTTTGAAAAGCAATCACCACACAATGGCTGCGAAAATAACGATATTTCGGCTTCTTGTATTGATTTAAATTTAAATTCACGGTCTAATAGCTAGACACAGCTAGACAAGACCGTTGCCGAGGCAATATCGGAAAAACGCTTCATTTAAAATGCTTATTTATTTTTTAATGCATAGCCTCCGACGGGAACTTGAAATCAATATTAAATTCAAAACGTTTACCGAGGAAAATGCCTCGGTTCCCCTCCCTGAAATCATTCATTAGTTCACATAAAAATACTGTCTGTTCTAGAAACTGCGTGAAGGCTGAAGAAATCAGCTACATGAGCTTACATGTACGCTGACTGACCGACGCTGATGCTGCTCTTTGCAATTTCCGTATTATGAACAAATCTTACTTTTGTGTATCATAAATTGCAATTTTGAATAATTAGTTTGACCCAATTAGGCTTTTGTCGATTGTGCTAGAATAATCTTTGGCATAGCGAAGATCTATGTTTACAAACATTGTCTTTGTTATTTAAATGTTCAAAACGTTAAACAAAAGAACTCTTTGTCTCACCACCCAATAGTTCTCTGGTTGGCATATTAATAACAATAGGTGACGTCACTGATATCTTTGTTATGCTATAAGTTAGCAAACCGGGCGTAATTTTTAGCTTTTGCTAAATTCAGCACTACTAGTGTATTCTGGCTTTTCTGACCTTGACATAATGAAGTAATTTCGTTTTGAATACCGTAAATACTAGCGCCCCCATCGAATAAGCACCCCTCCTATAGGTCAAAATTTGAAATAAGCGCCCCCCCTCCCGTCCCCCCATTTTGTGGAGGAGTACTGAGACAACAAAGGATGTATAGTTTTCGTCGTGTAGTATTAGATTTGTACACTGTTTCAGTTTGGGAACACGTTAAGTGAACGAGTTGAACATGTTAAGTATCGTGCTGCGCTTTAAACTTTAAGATCAGTATTTTATACCGATAAACAGCTTATGTTGTTGTTTACGCGCAGATGATGTATTAAAAAAAATAGGTCCGCAATGCGTACGCGTGTTTAATGCGTTTTCAGCCAACTGGAGCCATAATCATAACGGGGGAGCCGTCCATGGAGTAGTGGAAAAGATTATAAGTTTTAAGCATGAAATGTTATTGACAGACGTTTACCGACAAATGTCAAATTAACTTGTACATGAAGTGTCAAGATGGTTTCCTGGAATTACTAAGCCTACTACATAAAAGTCAGTAACTGAGAAAGTTAGCCCCAAGTCAACACCTTAATGGCCTTGAATTACACTGAAGTTCTGATATTAAGTTTTTACCATGGCTGTAAAGGGAATATAGACATGTTGAACAACAATCAATTTGCATGGAGAATTTACAAGGTTCTTTCATTAAAATATAACTGTAAGTGCAATAAAAAGAAAGCAATAATGCTAATCACTGTACATTTTGTATACTTCTTACGATAGCCTGTTGTAAGTTTGCATGTTGATCAATGGGTAGTTGTTTGTAGCATGTCTGCTGCACAGAAGAGTGTTTCTAATAATTAACTGAATCAAAATCTTCAAGTGGTTGTCAGAATACAATAGTTGGACAAAGAATTATGTGAATTAGCTCAACTCCTCACATAAAACATATTGATGAGACGTTGATACAAAGTTAAATACTTGTATGAAAAAAAAAAAATAATAATAATAACAATGGAGAACAGAGTGTTCCATTTCCCATTGCCCAGTGTGCCTGACTTTGGCTTACTAGATTCTTGCACTCACATCTGACATGACATGGTGCAGATGTCTTGCGTTGTNCTTCCCGATTTAATACGATGACAGTGCGAAATAACACTCGTGACGATTCATTTCTTCGGGAAATCCCATGGGACCTCCGAAGTTTTACACTCGGGATGGTTTAACACGGAACCGTTTTCAACATATTTGTTTAATGCGCATGCGCATTAAACACAAAAATGATCATGTCAGGCCACCATTGGGGAAAAATTAAATAAGTGCTCTCCCTCCCCCTCGATTAAGCGCCCCCTCGAATAAGCACCCCCCATCTCCTCCTATGTTTGAAATCAGCTCCTTGGGCGCTAATTCGAGGATTTACGGTATACTTCTTTTACCCGTTCTGTTTCTAAAACTTCTGTTACTGTTGTCTCCGGGCCGCCTGGGTCGGTGTGATGTTGCTTGATCTTGGGTCCCGCGTATACGTACCACTTACGCGCGTACCGCCGCCTTAGCTCATTTGGTAGAGCGCCAGTCTGCTGTGCGGGAGGTCGAGGGTTTGAGCCCCAGACCGGACCAAGACTCAGGGTCCTAAAATAACTGAGGAGAATTTACTGCCTTTGTAATTACATCTGCAAATGGTTAGACGTTCAAGTCTTCTCGGATAAGGACTATAAACCGTAGGACCCGTCTCCTGCATCTTCAGTGTTACAGGGTTAGCAGGGGACGTTAAAGAACCCACACACTTATCGAAAAGAGGAGGGCACGTAGTTCCCGGTGTGGTCTGGCCTTGTCTCGCGGGTTGGTGCTTTATACGAATTGTCCAAGAAGAATTACTGTGACTACGACTTTGACTAATAGCGACCTTCTTTGACATTGGACATCCATGATATGGGCAATTGACACTGTCAAAAAAAGTGATCTGCGGACCAGTAACACGTGACCATATTGCGGGTTCAAGTTTAGAACTCATCGAGGTCACGTGTTTTATGGAGTTGACCGCTGGCCAAGTGCTGGTTTTCGATTGGATCGCGAGACTCATGTCAAATTAATTTGCTGTAATCAGGACTAGGTTGTTCGGCAGCCGGTTAACGCTAACCCAGGATTAAAAGTTTAACCGAAGTATAAACTTTTCTTGTATACAAATGTTTTTCAATGCTTTTGTTTCGAGTAGTTTGAGATTTATATTCAAACTCAAAACAGAAGGCCAAACTATATACAGAAAACCTCACTGCAAAGTAACAAAAACAAAACTCAAATCAAAATTCTCGCTTTCCCTGGGTTAGCTTAATCGAGCTTTGAACAACCCGGCCTAGGAGCTCCGCGTTTAGGCTTGGCTAAATCTATATGTTACTAATATTAGCTATTTCTTTAGATGGACATGATCATCAGATATTGATATTTATCTACAAAATGCATGTTGAACAATGGCTTCTACTGGAAAACATTATTTTATTTATCAGCTCCTCCAGACATTTCTCAAATAATCTTTTCATTCATGATGATGACGGCACAATGGCTGAGACATTTTCTTTTTGAAAACAAGTTGCTTTGCTCGCCTGAGTGTTTTAATTTTACGCTCGCCGGAAACCTGTTCACGGGCTAGATTTTATTCAACAGCAAACACCGAAGCGGAGATGACTGAAAAAATTAACTCGAAAACTCAGCTTTAGCGCTGTAGGTCGCGCGAAAGCTACTGATAACCGCTGTAAGTTTTGTTATTTTGTTTTCAGTTGTTATTTTGTTGACGTTCATTGCTTCCAAAAAGAATTGTAATTCAAATAATGAATTTATTGACCGGGCAATACAAGTGTAGAAATAAGTTAGCCCCACCATGGGGCTATTAATTTCCAACGAACGTCCCACGTGGGGTGGAGGGAGGAGAATAACTGGGCTTGTAATTGACGGACGAAGCTATGTATGATGTACGCATGTCAAACGTTTGCATTCACTCAGAAATGTTGCTGAAACTTACTGTTTTTGTATTTCAGATTTCCTATAATATTTTAGGGGATTCATAATCAAGCAAGATTCTTTCAAAATGATGGCTCGTCTGCCACATATTAGCGACAACGAGGTTACTCAGGATGAAGTAAAATATCTTGAGAACGAAGGCAAGGATTACTGCATGTCACACGGAATGGTTTATAAAGACTCTAAAGGAGAAACACAACACATTCCCTTCACTCTTTATCCATCACCCATTCCACTGAAGCTTTTCACAGATGCAAAAGAAGTGCAGACAGATTTTAACCTGCTTGTACACAAAGTGAGCCGGGACTACGAATTTACAAAGAACGCGCTTTTGAGGTATTGTACGTTCTGTCATGAAAAGTTACAATGATCCCCATTGAATCAAATAATATTTTTTTAGCTCACGATATGAAATTGTGCAAATACAAAAATAGGTTAATATACAATCTTGTGCTTCTGCTACATTGTATCTACAGTATCAGTTCCACATTTTAAAAATAGCGATAATATGTACTGAAGTGTGTGTGTGATGTATGCATGTCTGTTTGTTTAGAAATTTTGAACTTTTGAAATCAATTAAAGTTAATCAAAATGCGCAAGAAAACGATGTCAAAGGGGAATCTCTTTGCAAGCACAGAACGTGATTTGTAAGCTCAATTAATAATGCGGGTTGCGTTCGTTGTGACGGTGGGATAAGATTCTTTGGAAAGATATCGTCCTTTTTGCTAGCCTCTTCCAGGTGTTCGGTTAGTTGGGGGCGCAGCGCGAAAACCGGCGAACGAAAAAATAGGGGAGAAGCACTTTGTCTCGCCGCGCTTCTCCCCTATTTTTCGTTCGCTAAGTGTTTTTCGCGCTGCTGAACACCTGGAAAAGGCTACCTTTTTTCCAGACTTCATGACGATACCAGGCTCTCTTTTACTGTTGTCGTTGATGCCATTAATTATTTCTAGGCCTTTTGCTAAAAATTGAACCCCATTTTTGAAAACAAACAACCACAAAACTTTCAAATTAAAAACATAGGCAAAAAATATCCCGACAAACTGTGCTGTCAAATAATTTTTTACAAAATGCATTTTAAACCGGTGGGTCAAGTGTACATTTCGCGTTAAAACGTACCCATAACGTTTGTTGCCTCTTTGTTGTACGGACAGTCCTGTGGCAGAAGCACCTTGAAGAGGGTTTCAATGAGATTGGGGCTTTTATGGCTACTAACAACGGTTAATATTTTGGATTTTTTAAGGCTAACGGTTAGTTTATTTTCCTAACGGTTGACAGATATATCTTATAAATTAGTAACCATCGCTTAAAAAGTTAAAAATTAATGCATGTTCGTTGTACGATCGTTCCGGGATGGAAAAAAGTACTATTATAAGAATTGTAGACTACTATGGCCTACTACTATAGTAAGACAAGACATGTCTTAACAAGAGATCTTGAAATTTTCGTGGCTAAATTGTTTTTTACGGTTAACACTGGTCAGTGTTACGGTTAACGGTTAAAAATTTTCCAATTTTTACGCCTAAAGGCTAAAGTTTTGGCCCATTTTATGGCTACAGGTTAACCCCAATGAGACCATCTTTGAAACTAGCTGGCTTATGTAGAAAAGCAATCTCAGATGATGATCTATACACACGTTTTCCTGGGATGTAAGAAAAGTGCGGTTTTTTGCACTAAGTGAACTACAACCTTGGAGTTTACGACTCCTAAAGGCCCAGAGACATCTTCCTCTTCCTAGTTCGTCACTCGTTTTTATTTAGAGATTGTTGTCGCCACAACAACTGATTCCTCAACTGGTGAAATTTCATTGTTCTGGTGGGATACGACGGAAACGACTTGGTTTTCTTAAGCCCTGGCCAAACGATCGCAACATGTCAACGCAACGTATCGCAACATTGGCTACCCCGTTGCGACGTGTTGCGACAGGTTGCAACATGTTGGGTGTTGTTGGCTCAAATTTGAAAATGGTCAAATTTTTCATGCAACATTTGTGGATGTTGCATGATGTTGTAGTCGTTTGGCCAGGTCCGTCCAACAATGTTGCGCCCGGGCATGCGCACTAGTTCGATTTTCAATACCCGGCCAAACGATCGCAACATTTCAACACAACATATGCCAGCGCTGTTGGCCCACCATTTGCATGCTCCTGCCAAACGATCGCAACATTTGAACGCAACATATCCCAACATTGTTGGGAGCAACATGTTGCGCGCGTCTGACCACCGTGTTGCGACATTTTGGGTGTTGAAAATCGAACTAGTGCGCATGCTCTGGCACAACGTTGTTGCACGAACCTGGCCAAACGACTACAACATCATGCCACATCCACAAATGTTGCATGAAAAAATTGACCAGTTTCAAATTTGAGCCAACAACACCCAACATGTCGCAACATGTCGCAACACGTCGCAACAGGGTGGCCAAACGCGCGCAACATGTTGCGCCAAACAATGTTGCGATATGTTTTGTTGAAATGTCGCGATCGTTTGGCCGGGGCTTGCAATGAAACCACATACAGTGGAGGGCGGTTAAACACATATTTAATAATGCTGCAGATTGTTTCACTTGCTGTTCGGTTTTTGGCGATCCAGAAGAATCTCGATAATTGTCACTCACTACGAACAGTATTGAGTGAAAACCGCCCAGTTATAAGTGGCACTGGTAAAACCCTGATTTTTCACCGGCAAAACCTGTCAAATTTCCATCTCGCTGATTGGTTTAGAAATTCATGGTGTAGCTTGCTTAACACCAAATTTAGTAATCATCTTTCTTCAGTACAATGTACGGTATAAGAACATTTTTTACATATGTATATATTAGAGATCACTGTTCTAAGGTAATGACGATTTATTATTATCGGTTACATCTATTCACGTTTAATTTAATTTTTTTTATATAATTAAATTTCCACAACTTAGCACAGTGGCTGCTGATCCCTTTACATCAAGACTCTTTGACATTTATGAAAAAGTCTGGGAACAAGGAAATGCTCAGGTTAGTACAGTCAAGCTCCCTACCCCACCCCTGCCCCCCCNCCCCCGCACCCGCCTCTCAGTTCCTGACGGCAACGATCTTCCGCCCATCATTCCACTAATAACGGGCTTCGTATTGTTTCTTAGACTGTGATAGACTTGAGGCCGATTATGACGATTATGATTTTTCTTCATCATTAAAAGTAGAAAACCAGTTGATTCAACCAGAAAAAATAAAGTATACAGTGAAACCTGTATTAAGCGGATACCCTCTATTAAGTGGACACCAGCTGAAGTCCCATAATTTTCTTCCCATATTTACTGTAAAATAAACCTGCATTCAGCGGACACCTCTGTTAAGCGGATGCGGACACCAATATTAAGCCATTTTGTTGCACAAAACCTGCGACAAGCGGACACTTCAAGAGCTTTTTACTTCTAAAGGTCTAGGCGAGACTCATTTAACATTGTTCAGCGATGTCGTTTTATAAGCAAAGTGATTATTCCAGACTGATGCATTGACTGACTGGATCGGACATTCTCCTATGAGCAGTGTTTGATCTTACACTGTGTTACACTGTGTTACAAAAGAGTTGATAATTAACTATTATTGCACAACACCCTGTATTAAGCGGACACCAGTGAGTGTACGTCCCAAGGGTGTATGTTTGGGCGAAATGAAAAAACATAAATTACTGACACTGAGCAATGAGCTAGTACTAGCTTGCAGACTGCACGTCAGTGGTTATCTTGACGTCATTCAGGTCATTCCGTTCTATACAATTTACTTTATAATTTACGTTTTAAGTTTATTTCACGATGCAGGAAAAAATTATGCTTTTAAAGCTGCTATTCTAAGGCGTATTTCTCGCCATTTACTGCCTTTCTCTGGGCTGAGTTTTTCCATTTTAATTCAACCAAGTAAAGCTCCGCCGAATAATAAGCATACGAGATCGGAGAGAAAGAAGCAAGTGATAAACTGTTTTATTTTGTTTTCTTTCAGTCAATCTCATTAGGAATTTTTCGGTCTGACTACTTGATTGACACCACAGGCGGGTTACTCGATCAATGTTGCAGTTGTACTAGCAGTAGTGATGCCTCTGCCGACTCCATTTACATCAAGCAGGTTGAAATGAACACCATATCACTCGGTGGAATCTCGTTTTCTTGTCTTGTTCCCGACATGCACAGGTAATTGGCGTGTAAAATGTTTAACTGTCAAGGTCATTTTCTTTCATTGCTTACCCTTTATCTAGACCGTATTTACAGATTGTTAACATTTTACTGCACTCTTCTAACCAGGAATACTCTATAAATGGTTTAAAACGGTTAATGGTGGCTAGAAATGCTCTTTACTCATGACACATTTTTCGTCCTTCACATTTCAGATATCTTTTACATTCAATGGGACGAGAGAACAAGGTAATGTTATCCCTAATTTAGAGAATTTCTCTCTGTTATATTGACGCTATAATACCTAATAATTGCTAGTCGGATCAAGTGCACCTACAAAATATATTAGACATTTTCTTATGATAAGAGCTGATCCATTATAGAGGGGAGCGGTTTGCGCAATTTTTCAGCTTCAGATGTGGGAAACTTTTCTCGATTTGTTACTCGATTAGTTTTTTTTTTCTCTCGGCTCGGGAAGCCAGTCGCAGTGCAGGATTTGATTCATCTTTGCCGCTCACGGAACTAGCCATGTAATAATTACTGGTTATGTAGTCATACCTTATCTCATGATCAACACTTTTGTTCTGTGACACACAGTCTCGGTCACATTCCAATAGAGTTTTGTTCCCAGGCGTGATTCTCGGGCTCTCAGTCTCCTCTGGTTTATCGGCCGTGTTAAGAGTATCGTCCAAGACCAATTGTTTCGGCCAAACCTAAATCTCCTACTCTCGTGCACTGAGTTAAATATCTTATGTAAGTTAACGATTTGTATTGTGTCCTTTCTCAAGGTGCCTCCAAATCCCGCATTAGATGAAGCAGCTGGTGCTCTCATTAGGGCCTGGGAACTATATGGATCAGACAGGTTAGAGCAGTTTCTTATTGTTCACTTGTTTGTTTGTTTGTTTGTTTGTTTGTTTGTTTGTTTAGTTTGTGTAGTTAACAGCCTTGCTACCGTTTTGTTTTTAGTGCTGTCATCATGTTCGTTGTTCAGCCTGACGAGGTTAATGTTTATGACCAAAGGCTGCTGGAATACCGTATTCATGAGAGGTAAACACTTAATTCTGTTCACTCAATAACACACATGCAAAGGATTAACAATTGCTTTTAGATATAATAACAAGTCCAACCATTCTCTAGATGTGGACACGCTGAACATCTCCACGATTTTATCAGAATACATTCTGACAAAACGTGCGTTAATTTGATAGAGGTTTTGTTGCCCTAATTCTTGTACCTGCAATGCCCTCACGTGAGAACAAAAGCTTCTAATTATCGGATTCTTTTCATGTCTCTGAGTTTCTTTTTTCTATTGCTTTTGTACGTTTTTCTGTTTATGCAGGAACAATGTTGTAAAAGTGATCAGGCGGAGCCTTAACGACATTTTTAAAGACGGTAAAATGAGCAACGATAAATCCATCTTTGTGTAAGTTTCTTTGTTAATTTTTTTTCCTTTCGAGACTAACGCGCTCATAATCGTGGTCTATCAGCGAATAATCGATCGTGACCGAGCCAATCAGATTCGTGGATTTACAACACAACAGCACACGATAACTGCCTACTATTAATCAACAGCTTTCAGCGAATCAGTCAGTGCTATTCAAGCAACACGTACAACTGTTTTAGAGCGGTTTTCACTTGAGTGCGGAAAAGTGATTGATTTTGCATTGCTACGCTTTACGATTGGCTTAAAAAATTCGCGCCACTTTTTCGTCCAACCAGAAGTAAAACTAAAACCAACTGTGAGTCGCTTGCACGCATTTTCCCGCGCTTCGCGTCAGTTTTAATTGGTTCACAAGATTGCGTGTGTGCTTTGTGATTGGCCCGAGTGATCACTCTGGTTTTACGACTCAGTTGAAAACCGCTCGATTACAAGACTTGAATGGACTTTGTCAGTAACTGATATATTCTTTACATAACATTCATTTTGTCGAGAGGGTCTGTTGAAGTGACAATTATCTGTTCTGTTCTTGGTGAACAGGACTGGACTTGAAGTTGGCGTAGCTTATTTCAGAGCAGGCTACACACCCAAAGACTACCCCACAGATAAGGTAAGTTGATTATGCATAATATAAACAGTTGGTACCAGTTAAGTTCTAAGATAAGAAATGTAGCAAGAACACTGGAACTTAGTTTAGAGGACGAGAAGTCTCTCTAATTCAGTTATCTTCATACGCCAATTTGCTATGTGTGTATTTAAAGCATACAAATCCTTACCTCTTTCTACATGGCCAGGTAGACGTGTAAACGTATCCTTAAATTTTGAGAATTAATTGATCATTAAAGGTTTATTGCTACAATGGAGATCGCAAGTAGTAACAAATAAAGAAGTGGTTGTAGCTAAGTGAACCTATCAGTTTTTGTGATGTATTTTGCAGTCTAATTGTGAGTGGTAATAGTTCAACAAGTGCTTGGTGTTTCAGGAATGGTCAGCTCGTTTAACATTAGAGTTGTCTCGTTGTATTAAATGCCCTACAGTGGCGCATCATTTGATGGGAACCAAGAAGATACAGCAAGTGCTAAGCGACCCTGGGGTCCTAGAAAGGTATAACTACGAACCTCTATACTAACACTACATTTACATAATCCTTCCCCAACCGTCCCGTAAACGTTAGCTTAGTAATCGGGTCTCCTTAAATACACACCGAAGCCCCGAGATATTGCCTAGATAACAACTGCGAAGCGCGTCTCTTATATTATACGGGGAACACAATTGGCAAGTATTAGATCTATCCCTTGCATTCAAATCAAATGACCTACCACTCGGTCTTCTGTATGGGACGAGATGCAATGGTCTCCAAGTAGGGGATAAGTTAGGAGTTGTTCAAAATGGTTAGTTTGTCACCATTGGGGTCCTTTTACTTATATTGGCAACACCCTTAGTAGCCGTCAGCAATTTTACGAGGTGATAATAACTAATCTGCAATGATCCTTAGAGTTCAGTAGAATGAACACTCTTACATCTGATATAAGAAGTGTGGCAAACAATCAACACATAGTGGCCTGATAGTAAAGATTCTTACTGCGATCGCATTCAGATTGTGCTTGTGCCATACTCTGTAAGCAGATCATAACATTTTGTTTTCCAGGTTCCTACCCGACAATGAGTCAGTAGGCAGAGTGAGAAAAACCTTCACTGGATTGTATACTCTAGACCCGGTAATGTATATGTCCGCTCAGTTAATGACTTTTTATCAAAACAGTTTTTTTCCTGGGCATTCCAGTTCGTCTGGGGTCTGAGGGCCCTGGCAAACGTGGTAACATATCCTACTGGCAGAGAACCTTCCCCCCTTTTCGTTCACACACCGACACAAAGTTTGTTGCATAAGCAAATTTTGCTCCTGAGAAGCGAACATTAATCGCTTACAAACTGTCGATCAAAGATGCGGCTTTCAGAGAATATTTTCTACACTTTTCGCACACTTTGGTAGACGTAAGAAGATCTGTTGATTTGTGTCTCTTTTTAATTTATTTTCATAAAATCGCTCACATTTTTGTAGCGAACAATTGCTAAAACACGTGAATGGTGCGTACATCAAACTGATTCAGTAGAAACGTTCTCAGCAACGCTAGTTAGCTAGGTAGTAACATTTATTTTCTGATGGCATGATGCTGTAGTGGCAGCTTTGAGTGTACTTATTGCATTTCTTCCAGGTTAATAACTAGTACTGTTGGAAGATAACTCTGTCAAGTAAGACCTGAATTCGTTTGCATAGTGTGAAATTTTTGCTGTAATTATAGGGACCCAAAGGCGATCATAATATGGAGTGTTGTCTTCAGATGGTAGATAAATGTGTTCTTAAGCCTCAGAGGGAAGGAGGAGGTATGAAAACCGGCGATGATAGAAATGGGTAACACCAGATGATCGTGTTGTGTATAAACCATTAAAGAACCAGGTTAAAATAAGTAGATTTACGTCCCATATATCACTTAGAAATAGATGAAAGTTTACGAAAGATTATATATGAATGAATGAACGAATGAATGAATGAATGAATGAATGAATGCTTTATTTAACGTGGATGTAAATTAGCTTGAGAGCTAGTTTACAGGTATTCCACGTAATAACTAATGAAAACCTAACAACTAAACAACGCTAATATCACAATTCATCAGATAAAATCACAAATTATCATTTGCAAGCTATCATTTGGCAAAGATTATGATTTGCAAGGTAAAGCGCTGAGATTGCATGGGATATCCGAGTTTCGTTAAGCATCCAATCAGAACTGTACACACAGAAATATGAAAGTGGACCGAACATTTGTAAACGCCGTGGGGAGCTAATTTACTACAGGTCAATGTTGCACATGGAACTGGCTAGCTCAAAAGACCACCACAAACCGCATAATATCAAGCCAAGGTTTAATAATTTTTCGATCTAAAAGAAATACATTTGTAATTCGCAATCAGAACAAACACAAATAAATTTTATCTCGAAGCTTTATTCAGAAAACTTGAATTTCAACTTACTTCTGTGGCGGGTAGTTACAACAGACGCAATTTACGGGTTAGCACTGAGTCTTTAACAGTTTCTCCAGGTGAGCGGGTTTAACAGACAGATTCTCCAGGTAAGCGGTTTTAACAGACAGACTAAAATAACGTCTTTCTCACTTCGATTCTACTGAAAAACTGGTTTGAAACACAATAACCTAACGCTTTTAAATCAATGTATATAATTTATGTCAATCACGATTATTGTCATCAAATAAATCTGTCAATTAAGAGGCAACGCCTAATTGATCAACGAAACAGTACGCTGTCCAGTGCGCTATCGTAATTTGATTATGTAAGATATTGTATTGATAAAAAAAGACAAACCAAAGTTAGAAAGTTGCCAATAGTTTTGAAGCAAAAGAGCAGGCGGCTTGTGATTAGATAAAAACACGACAAAAATAATCTCGTCCTATCAAAATTTATGTACTTTTACCAGGCAAACATAAACTACATTATATCACAGCAAAGCATTATACTTTGGACGCGTAAAGATGTAAGGGGAAGAAACAGTTGCGTCACATGTCACAACATTGAAATGGTTACCTTGACATTTCTTCTTCTTCTTTCTCTAATTATTTGACTACGCAGGCAATAACATCTACGGTGAAGACATCCGTCGCACGTTACTTAACAACTCTGAAAACAGGACTCAGTACATATGCATGGATCGTATCTCACCTCAAATTACCAAGAACTTTATCGTTCGTCAGGAGTCGACAAGTATACGTCCAGTTGACGTCATTCCTGAGCTTGGCATTATGGGTATTTTTATCAGGTAATAAGCTTTTAAACTTAATTTTTTTAAAGTTTTTTTTTGTATTTTTTATTGCTCTAATATAATTACATACTCTTCTTCCACTGCTAACATAACTTGCAATTTAACAATACTAACAAAACTTACAATACTAACATTATTTACAATTTATTAATATCTTACATAACTTTCATGTAGGACGGTAGCTACAATAGTCCAGTTTCGAATTCGCCATGACCGCTGATTAAAAGCACTGAGAACGCATTTCACAGGGTTAGCCTCGATCTAAAGTAATATATTTACTAATTCCAGCGAGAAGATGACCTGTTTACAGCTCTGTGTATTGTTTAATTTTCAAATTTGTGGCACCTTCCCGCCGGTATTTGTGAATATTTTATTTTAGGTCGAGGCTAACCCTGTGCAAATGCATCCTCAGTGCCTTTATTCAGCGGTCATGGCAAACTCGAAACTGGACTATAGGTGGCTTTTTTACATAGTTTGTTTATGTTTCTCAATTTTAATTTTATTTGTTAGAATCGACAAGAAGGCATCCAAATAAAACTCGTCTTCTTTTCTTGAAGCAGTATATAAATAATATTTGGCTATAATCATGCGGAGGTTTAAGCCAAGACGACGAGCCAAGTTATTAGTCACCCGACTAATTATTAATTATTCATCGAGAGTGATCGTATCTCCGTTTTTGGAGCTGGGTTGACGTTTGTCTTTCGCCTCAGAGGTGACATTTATCAGGTTCCTTGATTGAATCTCTAAAAAGTGTCGAATTTGTGGGTCAGTAGAATGTGATGAATTATCTTGTATTGGAAATTGGCGAGTCTGGTGTCTTTGGTAACATTAAACGGAAGACTATAAATGAGTTGTATTGTATCTTATTTTAGACTGGCTTCTTTCATCCTTTGGTCAGCTGTAGGCGTAACGCATTTACTCTTAACAAAGAATTTAGTTGCCGATTTGCAAGAAAGTTTATTTAAAGATATCTCATCCTTCACAGAACGTTTTTCCAAAGGTTCAGTAACATTTGCTTTGAGAATATTGATCCACTTTTGAGGGACTGCGTGGCATTGAACGTAGTAGTTCAAGAAATTTGTTTTAATTTTGAACTTGCTGCAGAATTCGTTAAAAGTTGGGAACCTGTTACTTTGAAGAAAGTCTTCAACTTTGGTTAATCCAACATCGTGCCATTTTGTTTAATATATGGAATATCCTTCTATATTATGATAACATCATGTGCAAGCATTAAAGTTAGTAAATTGTTTAAGTTTAATTTTGTTTCAGTCGCGGAGATGAAGTGCTGGTCAACAAAGAGGGAGGTTACCTAGTGAGGACCAAAACAACTGAGCATCCGGATGGTGGAGTGTTTGCTGGAAGGGCTGCCTTTGACAGTCCATATATGGTATAACAAAGACATATTTGGGACACTGAGAAGTGTATCTTTGTGAAGTCAATAGTAACAGTTGGATTAAACTGGACCTTTATTCTCAAATACTTGTTGACAGTCTGGTCTTCTTCCTATAGCTAAATAGAGAAGGGGTTGCCATTTTCATATGTTAAACTTTGCTTGTAGTTATCAAACCCGTACCTTTAACATAAGATAACAAATTACTTCAGCTTGAAAGTATTATGCGGTAGTTTTTATTTGCATGGTCAAACAAGGATTAAAGTAAAGAAGTTGAAGTAGCTGACAACTGATTGATAAACTTAGGGTTTGACTCTGAATGTTGAGCTAGGGTTACGACAGTAATGTAACTTTATTTCAGCAGTACATTTCTACGTGAGCGGTTAAGAGTGTACATTAAATACTTGTGAACAAAAACCTTAGGAAAAATGCTCCAATATTATATATATACACCAATCACGACCGGATGTAATGAAGTTGCCACTTAAACGCTTCGTTCGATCTTAGTCACAAGTCATACACAAATAAATTAAAATTAATACGAATGTGTCGCATTGCACCTAGAAGACCAAGCTTGAAGTAGTGGACAGTAACAATCAGTAATTTTATTGCTAGCGTTTGGTTTTAATTACTGTACGTTTTGGTTTTCATTCACGCCTATTACACTCGTCGTTTTCACGCTATGTGTGATTGATTTTTGATGTAGGTTATATTCCGCGTTAATTTTAGAATAGATTAAAAAATGCCAACTGGATGGCGAGGGTGGGGCCTTTTTCATGTTCATTGTAGATAGAATAAACAACTGTTGGTTATCGTGGTTTGGTGCGGTGTGCCGATGTGGTGTGGTGAGGTGTACTGTATCAAACACGAAGGACTGTGTTTTACCACATTTCCAAACACCAAAAGTTCAAAATATGTCGCGTAGCGGAGTCTTTTTGACGAACCTCGAGTTGTTTGGAGATGCGGTCAAACACTGTCTTGAGTGCTTGATAAATCTTTGCAATCGACACTAAGACTAAGGAGAAAACGGAGAAATAAGATCGCAAAAATCTATGCTAAAACGAGCATTGGCATAGATTTTTACGATATTTCATTTCTCCGATTTCTCTTTACTTTTAGTTTATAGATCATCCTCTCTTGATGCTAATTAAAATCAGATATCCAAACAACCTCAGGGTCATAGTTTGCTTGATTTAACATTGACGAGTGTGAGAAAGTCAAATAGAAATACCATCACTTAAGTTTTGCTTGCATCGATCCAGCTGATCTTAAATGGGCATCATGCCGAGAGCTCTTGGGTGTTCCATAGGGAGCCAGACGTTCTTAGCAACCAAAACAACAGACCTGGAGATGTAGGACTAAAAGTTCTACATCTCCACGGGATATCCAGTGGCTTACAATAGTGTAATCATATCCATGTAGGTGACCGTTTATGTTCCACAAAACGCGTCAAGTTTTGCACGAATGTGCCATAATGCTAAAGTGTGAAAGTATATTTACTGTAAACATCGTGTCAGAAAGATACAAAACATTTTAATAGTCGGCGATTCGGGAAATCGACTGACGTGAAGAATTTGGATTAAAAGAAAAAATAACGTTGAAACAATGTGTCTTCTGGGCTGGGGCGCAACCGCCAGTTTAAAACTTAGACGCTTTGATATATTTCTTACTCTTGTAAAGCTACGGTGCATGTATAGCTGAAACGTTTTTGCTAATCTCAGTTTTCACTGCTATTCAGTAAGCGAAGCGACTATGCCCGGCAGCCCAGAAATGCCCAAGAGGCAGAAATGTTCTCAGATTTTCCACGGAAAGCCTGATTCAAACCTGTTTAGGGTATTTTCTGTATACATGTTTGTTGCTCAGCGATTCCAAAAATAAATGATCTAAATTTCCTAGTGGTCGAATTCGAAGATCATGTGTACCGAAAATCAGTTAATGTTATGGGCAGTCAGGAAATTATCTCAAAAATAATATGACTGAAAGCTCTCAAATTATATTGTAGGATAACATCCGGTTTTCTTTCAATACTGTTACATTCGAAATAAGGTACCGTCAAGTTTATGGTGCAAGATTATGACGTGAGAATATTTTAGAGAAAACGAAGGAAATTCCTATAAAAAGGTACCGCAAAACTCGTAGTACAACGGGGGAATATGTTCTCCCGAAATATTCCTCGCTCAATCTATTTTAAGGCAGACCTATTTCTTAAAGATTATGACAAGCCAGAAACGTGTACCCGAGAAACGAAGTAATAGTATTCATGAAAATTACCCGCCTTGTGCAAATCAAATGGAGGAAGGGCTACAATTCTGTTCCTCAAAATCGGTCAAGTTTCACTGAAGTACAAAAGGACAAAACCCTGATGAAGGCTAAGAAGTATTCAGCTTAATTTCATGCAGAAAATCTAATTTCACTTTCTAAACGAAGTCGAGCCGGTTTAGAAAAGTGGAGCGAGAAAAATAAAAATATTGAACATGAAGTCAACGGAGGTAGTCGTATCATCTTCTATTTTGTATCCGTGCGTCTTCCTTTGGACTTGTCACAAGTCGACCATTTCTTAATCCTTGACTTTTTTTTTGAGCTTTTTGTTTTTCTTTACTATTACATACAATAATAACATTACTTACACTATTAACACTTCTTACAATACTAACATTACCTACAATAGTTACAGTACTTTAAAGATTAATATCACTTACGCCACTACTGATATTACTTACAATACGACTGTTACTTGCACTACGAATACTACTTACACGACGATTACAAACACTATAAATACTACAGATACTCTGCCTACACAACTAATAATACAAATCTTACTCTTCCTTGTACTCTAATTACACAATTACTTTTTGTGTTAACAAGATACTTTATATAAAATTACAATACAGGTATTTAAATCATCACAAAAATACATATAAATTTATATAATTCACATAATTCCATATGATAGTAAGAAAAGAAAACAAACAAACAAGCAGCGCTTACTCCTTTACAAAAAAATTGGATTGTTGATGCTTTGAGAGGCTATAAGCTTTTCAATTTCATATTTTCTATTGACTACATCTTCGAAAGGCAAAAAGAGAGGGATTTTTTTATTTTTGCGGCAATTCCATAACTTGAATAAATTTTACCTAAAATGATAAAGTAGTTGAGCAGGTTAGATCTCTGATCTAATATTCCTAATATAATATTTTTAACAATATTTTCTACACTTTTCCCACACTTTTCCCACTCTAAGGTCTGTTGTTTTGTATCGCTCACATTTTGCAGCGGACAATTGCCAAAACACATGAATGGTGCGTACATCAAACTGATTCAGTGGTAACGTTCTCAGCAGCGCTAGTTAGCCAGTAACTTTCAGTTTGTTTTCTGATGGCATGATGCTGAAGTGGCAGCTTTCACTATACTTATTGTATTTCTTCCTGGTTAATAACTAGTACTGTTGGAAGATAATTCTGTCACGTTAGATCTGAATTCGTCTGAATAGGGTGAAATTTTTGCTGTAATTATAGGGACCCAAAGGCGATCATTATATAGAGTGTTGTCTTCAGATGGTAGATAAATGTGTTCTTAAGCCTCAGAGGGAAGGAGGAGGTATGAAAGCTGGCAATAATGATTTATACCAGGTGGTCGTATTGTCTAAAACCCATTAAATAACTAGGTTAAAATTAGTTGGTTTTCGTCCTATGTATCACTTAGAAATAGATGAAAGTTTACGAAAGGTTATCATTTGCAAACTGTAGCGCTGAGATTGCACAGGACATCCGAGTTTCGTCAAGCAGCCAATCAGAAGGGTACACACAGAAATATGAAAGTGGACCTAACATATGTAAAAGCTGTGGGGAGTTAATTTACTTGTGCAGTCGGTGGTCAGTGGTTTTACACTAAAAACTTGACCAGTGCACTGTCCAGTGCGCTATCGTGATTTGATTTATACAGATATTGTATTGCTAAAAAAAAGACAAACCAAAGCTTGAAGGTTGCCAATAGTTTTGAAGCAAAACAGCAGGCGGCTTGTGATCAGATAAAAACAGGACAAAATGAGACATTGCTGGTTTTGGAGATCTCGTCGTTTCAAAATTAATGTACTAGGCAAACATTAACTGCGTTATATCACAGCAAAGCATTATACCTTGGACGTGTAAGGATGTAAGCGAAAGAAGTAGTTGCGTCACATGTCACAACATTGAATTGGTTACCTTGACATTTCTTCTTCTTTTTCTTTTTCTAATTATTCGACTTGGCAGGCAATAACATCTACGGTGAAGACATCCGTCGCACGTTACTTAACAACTCTGAAAACAGGACTCAGTATATATTGATGGATCGTATCTCACCTCAAATTACCAAGAACTTTATCGTTCGTCAGGAGTGGACAAGTATACGTCCTGCTGACGTCATTCCTGAGCTTGGCATTGTGGGTATTTTTATCAGGTAATAAGCTTTTAAACTTAAGTTTTTAAAATTTTTTTGGTATTTTTTATTGCAACAATAACATTACATGACAAGCAAAAATCACGTACTCTTCTTCTACTGCTAACATAACTTACGATTTAACAAAACTAACAAATCTTACAATACTAACATTATTTACAGTTTATTAATATCTTACGTTAATTGCATGTAGCTACAATAGGTGGCTTTCTTACATAGTTTATCTGTGATTTAGATTTATGTTTGTCAATTTTAATTTTATTTGTCAGAAGGCATCCAAATAAAACTCCTCTTTCTTGAAGCAGTATATAAATAATAATTGGCTATAATCATGCAGAGATTTAAGCCAAGACGACGAGCGAAGTTATCAGTCACATCATATATTATTTCATTTTCATCGAGAGTGATCGTACCTCCGTTTTTGGTTCCACCAATTAGTAAGAGAGACCAAAAAAGTTGAGCTTCAGAACAGGTTACAAAAAGATGGGTTGACGTTTGTCTTTCGCCTCAGAGGTGACATTTATCATGTTTCTTCATTGAATTTCTAAAAAGTGTCGAGTGGGTAGAATGTGATGAATAATCTTGCATTGGAAAATGGCGAGTCTGGTGTCTTTGGTAACATTCAACGGAAGACTATAAATGAGTTGTATTGCATCTTATTATTTTAGGTTGCCTTCTTTCATCCTTTGTTCAGCTGTAGGCGTAATGAATTTACCCTTAACAAAGAATTTAGTTGCCGATTTGCAAGAAAGTTTATTCAAGGATATCTGATCCTTCACAGAACGTTTTTCCAAAGGTTCAGAAACATTTCCTTTGAAAATATTGATTTGAGGGACTGCGTGGCATTGACCGTAGTATTTCAAGAAATTTGTTTTAGTTTTGAACTTGCTACAGAATTCGTGAAAAGTTAGGAACCTGTTACCTTGAAGAAAGTCTTCAATTTTGTTTAATCCAGTATCGTGCCATTTTCTATCTAATAAATGGAATATCCCTCTGTATTATTTTAATGTGCTTTTAAACTAAAGTACTGGCTGTCATTTGCTCCCTAATGTAATCAGGTTTTCGTGGTAGGGATAAGCGTTCTACAGTTGTGTGATCATCAAGTGCTCCTTAAATGCGCCCATCCAAAAAATCGTTTGCCCAAAAGTATATTTGAGGCGTATTGTCGGAATTTTAAGGTTTCAATGTAATTTGATTTGTCTCTTAGGCCTGAGTAGGTGAATCTGGTAGATAAGTAGGCAAGTCTGGTAGGTGAATACCTAAAGACAAGTGCATGTTGTGTATTGGGGTTTACAGCGCGTTCGAGTGGCCTGAATAGTACCTTTTGATTGAGTCAATTCCTTTTACATTACTAATGAATTGAACAGTTCCAGGTATTTACCAATGTGATTTATCTCACGTTGCAGTGTTGTAGAAAGATAGTTTCTAATAGATCTTATATCGAGAAAGCGTGACGCCCTGTAGAGCCACGTTTTAGCTTAAAAGATTGTTCAGTGACGATTTTGTTGTCTTTCTTGTCGTGGTTGCGCTAGTAGGGGCATTGAATATTAAACGTGAGACTTTGCTGGAAGGCGAGACTTCGAGCCTGAAACATTTTGACTTGAAAGTGCTTTAAATGCGAGTGCTAGGCGTTCAGTCCTAAGACTTTCTTGGTCTTGCAAAAAATTGACACTCCAAGACTACCTGGTAAAAAAAAAAAGATCGAGACTGTGAGATGCTTGTAACCTCCAAAAATACGAGACTGTAAGACCGCTGAAATTCGACGAACTTTTTTCGAGACCCATGAGTTTTGAACTACTATTCTCTACCCCCTTTTCAAGTGAGCTATCACAAAATATTATCCAGTTTGTCGCTTCCGTTCATGTTTGCCGCTCAGCTAAAAAACAAAACACGAGGAGGCAATAGAAAAAAATCTATACCCATAAATTACAGTTTCAAGTATGATAACATCATGTACAAGCATTAAACTAGCATTAAAGTTAGTCAATTGTTTAAGTTTAATTTTGTTTCAGTCGCGGAGATGAAGTGCTGGTCAACAAAGAGGGAGGTTACCTAGTAAGGACCAAAACAACTGAGCATGCGGATGGTGGAGTGTTTGCTGGAAGGGCTGCCTTTGACAGTCCATATATGGTATAACAAGGACATATTTGGGACACTGAGAAGTGTATCTTTGTGAATTCAATAGTAACAGTTAGGTTAAACTGGACCTTGATTCTCAAATCATACTCGTTGACAGTGTGGTGTGCTTCCTAAGCAGTGAAGGGGTTGCCATTTTCTTTTGTTAAATTTTGCTTGTAGTTATCAAACCCGTACTTTTTACATAAGATGACAAATTTCTTCAACTTGAAAGTATTATTCGATAGCTTTTATTTGAATGGTCAAACAAGGATTAAAGTTTCATCTGTAGATTTAAGACGAAAAGCATCCGACAGCTGATTGATAAACTTAAGGTTTGACTCTGAATGTTGAGCGAGGGTCACCACAGTAATATCACTTTATTTCAGCAGTACATTTCTACGTGAGTGGTAACCATTGCTATAGTTATATAAGCATTGTAAAGTAGTGCATTAAACACTTGCAAACAAAGAACTTAAGGAAAAATGTCTAAATGTAATCGAGTTGCCACGTTAACGATTTTTTCCTCCATCTTTTTCACAATTCATACACAAACAAAATGAATACGAATGTGTCGTATAGCACCTAGAAGACCAAGCTAGAAGTAGTGGACAGCGAAAATCAGTCATTTTATTGCTAGCCGGTTTGGTTTTAATTACCGTACTTTTTAGTTTTCACTCACGCCTATTATACTTGTCATTTCCACGCTATGTATGATTGATTTTTGATGTGGGCTATATTCCGGGTTAATTTTAGAATATAAAAAAGGGTAAATATATATGTGGATGACAAGGATGAGGCCTGTTTTATGTTCATAAGAAATAAGAATAATCATATTAAGAAATTTTCGGTAGAATTCATTGATTATTAGAGATGCTCCGCTAGTTAGATATATTCTGATTAGGCGATTTTGTTGTACAATAAATTTGCATTTTTGATTGATTTGTTGACACTTAAGGCTGATTAGATAAAATAAACAGCTTTTGAATCAACCTCGTTCAATTCCCAGGGCTTGTCCCTCACAGATTGGGAGGGGCGGCGAAAGACCCTGGCATCGGCTGGTCATAAAGCGTAGGACCCGTCTCCTACATCTTCAGTGTTACATGGTTAGCAGGGGACGTTAAAGAACCCACACGCTTATCGCAAAGAGTAGGGCACGTAGTTCAGGTGTTGTAGCCTGGCTTTGTCTCACGGGTTGGTGCCTCATATAGGGTTAACATCATTGCATCTTTTCCCCTTGGACAGAATTGTCCAAGAAAGATTGCCATGTCTATGTCTATGTGATCATCCAACACTTGAAAATTCTGGTGTGATAAATTACGATATGACGAAGATGTGAAATAATTTCCAAGCAAGATGGCGGAATTGCAAGGTTTTGGTTATGTTTTTCTGTGCTGCGACGCTTTTCTATTGGAGAATTGAACCTCTGAGAGGTTTTAATGCTTCGGCTAGCTCGGTTTGATTTTTATCATCTCTTATATTTCTATTTTGCAAAACAACCTTGCGCATACACAGCTACGTTTGAATCATGTGGTCTCAGAACGAGCATAAGAGATACTGATAAACCTAACCATCGAGCTCGAGAGACAAAAGCTCGACCAAATTGATGCAAGAAACAGGAACGTCTCTACACGTATGTATAGCTTTCGCGAAGTAAAGCTATTGCAGTCTCTGAAGAAGTGCTGGACGAAGAATAAATATGATACATGCTTGATACGTACTTGCAAACAGTTCTCATCCAACAGCCCGGCCCGGCGTCACAATATCAATATAGAATGCGAGTAAGCAAGGGCGGATTTAGGGGAGGGGCTGCGCCCCCTTTTTTTCTTGTATTTTTAAAGCGTTTTTGTAACCAAAACATCAGTCCGTCTAACCGTCTTTTGAGTGGTATTATTTAATGAAGCTTTCCTTTTATTTTATTCTCGGAGCTTTCCTTATTTGAAATACATTTTGTGTTAAATG